CCACCACCACCACCACCACAGTGCCCTCTCCTTGTTGGAGGTTCATGGGCACCTAGAACAACCCTATTTATCTAGAACAGGGTAGAGATAGCGGCTTCCTTTTTTGGATAGATGTGTTGTTCTTGCTAGAGATTTGCAGGCGAGAAGGCCTTTAGGTTTAAATCCGACGTCACTAAGGGTACTTCTTTGGCACAGTAACTTGCTTCACATCCACTCGGAAACAAGCTGCAAAGTGGGCTTATGAAACATGACAACGACATTGACAACCTTTACTTGCACAACGTTGCTACTTGCTAGCATCAAGGGAATTCTCAAACTGGGGCAACATGAGAACTTCGACAAGTTCTGGCACAGGATCGTGTATTAAGGTTCTTAGCATCATGACTTTGATCTTGGGTTACTCAATTTTGAGAAATCCCATGTGGAGATACAAAGCTTCAAGGATCTTACCCCCACATCGTAACAATCCCTGAGAGGAATCTGCCACACTGCCATGAACTTGCAGATCATCCTCCTTGTGTTCAACCTACTGGTGAGTCCTCCTGCTTTTTCCATGGGCTAGAGTTTAGGGCAGGTCAGGGTTTACTTCAGAGGCCAGGTGGAAGGGACAGACTTGCTAGGCCAGTGCCAGACAGAATTGTACGTGAAGACGTTGTAGTAATCACATTGGTGGTAGGCGTTCTTGATAGTGCTCCGGAATCAGCTTTGACAACTTGGGTTGCGCTTTTCTTGCGATAGTTGCTAGACAGTATGGATAGATAGCTTCCAATAGTATACCCCATGAATGACCTCCAAGTCCAAGGTGCTGTAACAGGGGAAGAGTATTCAGAATATCGCGCATGGGCTCATGTAAGCTACAGCAAATTTTGAAGGTCTGAGTTGCATGCTTTCGCATGAGAATTCTGGCGTAACCGGCTTCTCCAGATGCCCAGTGCCGCTGGCAGGACTTGTCAAGTCTGCACAAGCAGGTCTCAACAGTTGTTTTGGCAACCGTGGTACCAAGCTCGCAAAGCGGATCGTTGTGAGCATGCACCGAAGTCATAGTCACTCGTAGGCCCCCATGGAACTTAAGGTGCTTCGCATGCCTACAAAGTAAATGTGTTTTGCCCCGATGATCTGTAGTATACTGCCAGGTGCCGGTGTACCCGCTGGATTGCTCACAGGCCTGTCATGTCTGCCCGTTCCTTGCTGAACAGTCTTCCCAGAATCGTTGTTATCTTCAACCAACTCTTTCTCGACTCCTGCGTCGGATTGATTTGAAACCATGGGATCTTCTTTTGCCTCAGGCGGGCCATCATTTTGATGATCTTCTTTGGTTTTAGCAAAAGAGATTTAGAAGTGACAATGCCTTGTTGTGGGAATTCCTAAGCCTGAAGCCTTCACGCAGAAGCTTGAACCTGAAAGCCCCGCACCCCAAACTCAGAGCCGGCAGGTGATCATCTCACTCTGTCGTCTCTGTGGTGCTTCCCGCCGCAGTGCTGCCTACTTCATGGTAGCGCCTTGGACTTTCAGGATTAGAATCTAGGGGTTCAGGGTTGAGGAAAACATGTGAAGGAGCCAGCGGTGATGTCAAAGTAAAGACATCCCTCAAGATTCTTCGGAAGCTTTTCATTCAGAATCATCTTCAGCATTCTCGACAAGGATATTGCTGGATGTTCTAGTCCCTGTGCGCCCTACATCAACAAGGTCCTTTGTGAGAAGGAGTCCCACCAGGAACCTGCAGCTCTGAGAAAGTCATTAAGATTTTGAGGTTGAGGCTTTAGGTTTGACTCTCGCTTTGACTAAATAGCTATTATTGAATGCCCCGTCAGACTGATCTCAATCCTGATCGATGCTGAGCAGTCAGGCCTTCAGCTTGCCATTGTTGGGCTACGCTGCAACTTAGAGGTCCAATCAGCCTACACGGTAAAGAGCCAGAGTATGCCCTCAAACCGATTCCTTTGCAGACAGAGTCTCAACCAAGAGGCAACTTCGACATCCAGGTGTAATTGCTTGGACAACTGTCTTTGTTTAGCCAGGTGCCTCTGCTCCCTTTTGTCGTTTGAACAGTTCCAGGTGTCTTGTAGAACTACCCGCAGCTCTTCAAATTACTCAAAACCATTGACGGAAAAATTCCCAAATCGGCCTTCAAGTGCCCGAGATCCTTTGGCAGTAACGCGGTTTGCTGCGAACCAGAAGTAATGCAAGATTTCTACCAGCAGCATGGGCAGCAGAGTGGGCATCTTGCCCACATCTAGAAGGCGGGGACTCCTAGCGACAACAGGAAAGTCGGATTATGAAAGAAACAGAACGACACACACTTATCAGCCGTCATGGTTTGTTTACGTATTTTCAGATTCCTTCATGTTGCTAGACCCCCTAAAGCTCGAAACCCCAAAGCCATGAGCCGCAAATCCTGAAACCTCACCACTCCTAGTAGATTCTCCATATGATGGTTGCTGGGAACTCAGGTGCTCTCCTTGCTCTGCATAGCCGATGGCTGATTTCTGTTGCAGATGTCCTCGCGTGAAGTAAGATTGCACGATGGAGATTTAAACAGTTCCGGACCCCGTTGAGGTGTGCCTTACCCGCGAACCCAGATGCATTCAAGTTCATGTAACACGGACCCTAGCCCACAATTTGAGAAACTCCACCCAGACAGCTGGAACCTGAACCCGACAAAGACCTTTACGCTTTGTACTTAGTACGTCGAAATTGTCATCGCTGGTTTCCAAAAAAAACGCGCCACAGACGTATTGCCTTCAAAGTTATACATTCTTTCGAAATGCCCATTCGATTCGAGTATCATGCTGCTAGGAACTGTGTTTGGAATGCGATCAGATGGAAAGAACTTCAACTCAATGTGATGTCCTCTCCAAATCAGGCTGTATTTGCCGTTTAGTTGTGTCTCAACATTTGAGAGAAACAAGTATCCATTGTCCGGTGTGCTTACGCCCACAGATCTTTTCAGAACATTCTGGGCATGGTAGGTTGGTTTCTCGTCTCTTTCGCTTTAGAGCATTTCATCTTCACTTCTCGTGCCGCGATGTGCTCATACAAACGGGCTGACGATGCCTTCGATGCTCCGCATTTCGAGCTTAACAAAGTTTTACTATGGTGGCACATCTAGTCGGTTGAACTTACACTCTTTGCATACTTTTCTCTCGCATCCTAACACATCTTGTTTTCATTGCTATCTTACCCTCAGCTCAGTAGCAATTCATCTTTAATCTTGTTCTACGAAACTTGATGTCAATTCTAGTTTGGCATTGTGATGTCTTTTCTTTGAGTGTCTTGTTTTCACTGGCTCTGACCATTTGAAATTTCAACATCAGTTTGTCCCTTTGGAGTACCATACAGCAGCAAATACTTTTCCTGAAGTGTCGGCGTTATCCACATCTCCTTTGATGAAAGGATGACGTGTGATCCAGGACTGTCATACCTGAGCCGCTATCTATCCACTCATCTTTAGTTTTCGTGTAGGTGACGCCCTGTTTATTTCATCAAGGGTGCTGAATAGCATTTCCTTGAATCCCCTGTCTTGTGATGCCCCTGGCATTCATGTTGTAGTGCATCTCTGATGCATTGCACATCTTGAGTGGCCTGTTGACAGTGGTCACACCATGCATGACTTTGAAGTTGGTTGCGCGTATGATAGACTTGAGCTAAATATCTGTATATATATTCATATATATAGCATACATAGTATATAAATATAGTAACTACAGTATATATATAGAGTATATATAGTATACATAGTATATATAGTATTTTAGTATATGTAGCATATATGGTAATATAGTATAAATAGAGCTTGAGTGAAGTGACTTAAGTGTAGAAGATGGAGGCTTTTGACTTGGCCACAGCGAGGTCAACACCAATTATAGATTCCTATATGTATTTGCTATTTCATATTACTATACTGTTCTCATTGTTCCTATATTCTTGCCCAATCTAAACCGTGGGACCCTGAGGCCGTACTTCTGGCTTCCATGGCGGGAGCCCTTCATCTGCCCATGCTTTCCCTGGGCCTGGTCCCGAGCAGACATGGAGCTTTCTGTGAAGTACAAATCCAGGAAGAGTGTGTGAATATGGGGGGTTTTAACAATCATGGTGCTGCTTGGTGGTCCTTATGTACATATGACTTTCAATATTTAGGGTATTTGGTGCAGCAACCCGAGAATCTCTACATGCTCATCGCCCCTAAGCAAGCATACTATCCCGAATCCCTGAGCCCTGAACCTGAAGATGTGCGTGACGGTGTTGGGATGCTCCTGTTCCCCTCATGCTGCCCAACATCCATTACAGGGATGCATTGTTGAAGATTCGCAGCATTAGGGCTGTTCGAGTCTTAATGGGATGGACTTGAATGTTTCGAGTTCAGACTGCTGCAATCTCGGGATGAGTCATGGGATGCTGTGCATAGCCACTGGGATGAGCATCATTTATTGAGGATTTCCAGCATAGGTCAATCATGGTTCTTTCTGGCAACGAGTAGGGATCCCCTGTAAAGGATGCGTTTTGATTTCACCAAATTGAACATCCTTTCTTATCGGTCACATAATTGCCATGGAAGGGCTATAGTGGTTAGCAAGAATACTGCAGGGCTTAAGGTGTTGAAAGATGTAGGCCCTGCCGTAGTCTCGCGAAATTTGTCTGGATTACCTAAGTAGGGGAGAGCTCCAATTTCCAGACATGCGTGCATGTCCGTAGTTTATCTTGGCTGTAAACTAAGGATCCGGTACAGTAATCTTGTCAAGGCATCCGTTCTGGTTTCTTGTCATTATCTCAAGTGTCTGTTTTACGAATCATACGTAGTCAATTAATAGTTCACGTGTTAGAATTGGAATTCATTAAAGGAATTGCTTAGGACTTCATGTTCCATATTTTGAGCGCAATATTCCTAATCACTTGCGAAAGCCCTCCTCAGACCCTTCTTAGGCTTCGTAAGGCCTCCTAGCCGCAGGTGCATGGAGTCACTTCTGGCTTTCTCAGATTAATCATGCAGAAGTTGAGGCAGTCAAGGACCTGAAGGAAGCGGTCTCGTCTAACTGGAGTAATATAGAAAGTGACATTTGGAAACATGATAGCCGTAGTACCTAAGCCCTAAGTCTCCCTGGGCTTCGTTTAAGGCAGCTCAAAGGGATTAGCTTCTATACACCCCAAACGTTTACGTAAGCGCTTCTCATAGAAGCTTACAGCAATAGACCCTAATTTTGAGAAGCCTTCATCGATCAATTTGGCTCAGATTTGCTGGTTGGCTCTTGAGATCTTGAGGGAACGAAGCAAACAACATCGTGTACTGACCAAATTACAACCTGCGCCCCACCCTCGACTCTCGCGCACATGCTCTGCGTCTAGACCCTGAATACCCCTCAGGCCTGAATTTCAAACCCTACAGAAAACCACAAGCTCTTTTGTTTTTCCGAGGCTTCAGTGGCTTCAACCTTCTCTTAATGTTCTGGCTGGCATTCCAGACTTATCAGCTCTACAGCAGAATCTTGCAAATCAGGGGTTTTGGTATAGGGCTGTTTGGGTTGGGGCTTAGGGGTTAGAGTTTCAACCTCGCGTGTAGTGCTTGCTCGGAAGGGTGTCGAAAGGGTTTCCGTAAGGGTTTGGGGATCACGTTTCAGCGTAGGAGAAGTTGGTAGGACATTAATTCAAGTTTGCCCTAGGATGAGACAATCTCTTGCACATTCTTCACGAGGTGTTTCATGTGAGATCTAGCGCTTAGGTTATTTAGCAGGATCAGGGTATATCATGGTCTTCCTGTAGCATAACGCATTCTGGAGCACCAACTTGAAGTTACTACTTAGGTGTTGGCTTAGGGTTTAAGGTTGAGGGTTCAGGGTTTAGGCGGGGCTTTGAGGTTTAGGAGGTGGAGTTGGCATGTAAGCGGTGTGGGCTCCCAGGATGTCCTTCTTTTTTGAGAGTTCGCCGGAGTTCGTTTTGGTCTGCCAGAGTGAAACTGAGCATAGGGCCCTTGCTGCGTCATCCTATGGCCATCAAAATTAGTATCTATAGTAGCAAGAACCTTAAACTCTAAATCCCAAACCGTTCGGTGTGTAGTGTTCTGTCTTCGAAGGAGCAGCCAAGGAATATCGGCCCACACAGAGGATGAGCACCCGCTTCTGCGTCAGATCCAGGATGGAAGAGCAGCTGTAATCCTGCTTCCACGAACTGAAGCACTGTTGAGCATCTTAACAGTTAACAGTCCCCCTCCCATCAGGCCTCAAACGGGATCATTTTCATAAAGCTCGCCTCGCCTCTCCTGCAGGAGGAGCCTTCCTTCCAGTGTGAGCGCAATGCGTAGACAACATGTCTCACAAGTGCCACGTCTCACTGCAGGGCTTCCCTTGAATGAATGAACGATATGCGCTGCAGGCAGATCCTGAACTGATCAGGGACCATGTCTATAAGCACGAGACAAGACCTCGAGCGACTCTATCGCAGAAGTTGCCTCGTGCAGTCGTCCCACTATAAAGCTGCTCCTACACTACGGCCAAAATGGCTCCAGGCAGTCCTTGGAATCGCTGTCGTCCAGTTTTCATTCCCACATGTTCTTAACATTCTCTCTGGCACCCCTATCCTGAGCATCTTGCAGTGCCACAGACAAATTCACTGTCAAAGTCGAACCTGGGGTCCTCTGCCAACGAGGCGAGAGGGCCGAAAGTGCAAGCATGCATACTTCATAGGCCTCTCTGTATTGTTGCAATATTCCCGCATCACGTACAAACATGGCACCCCACAATCCCAATCATTCAGGCTGCCGTGCTCTTTGACGTCCTTGAACCCGAGTCCCCGGCAACATCTCCCATGTCAGGAGCGTCCTCAACTAAAAAAAAGCCCTAAACCTTAACACCTAAAACCTTAGACATTAAATCAAGCCAACCCAAAATCCTTATTTAAAAGGCTGTTCCGGGCCTCCTTGGGACACCAGGTCTCACCTTGCAGCTCGTGCTGCTTTCGATTAAAAACTTGCGCAGGGAATTATAGGGCCTGTAGCATGCAGACTGTTTTGGACTAATCTGGCAGGCTTGGTTTTTGATACTATACTTGCGGTGCTGTCGTTGTACTTTGGGGCCATTTCTTGTGAGATGTTGAGGATTGCCTGAGAGCAAGGAAGCTGAAGCATCGTTTCCGTGCCCTCCTCACAGCACGAAGGAAGTGATTGTTGTAGACTCCTGCTTGTCAAAGATGGCCCCTTTTACCCCTGCCGTAAGATTTTATGGCCCCGATTGTCCAAAACAGCTACTTGGATCATGCACGTCTCAAACGTCTCCAAGCTCAATGCGGGCTCTCAAGAGAGTGGGTTCAATAAACAAATAAGCAATTGTCCTCGTCTTTTCGCAAGTAAACCCCAGGTCCTCCCTGATTGTATGACGTTGTGAGTCAGAGACAGCATGCAAGATACATCTGCCACAAGCGCATGACACTTGCGACTTTCTTGGAAGCACGCTTAGCTACTCCATCCTCCTCTTATTCTTTGACAAGCTTTCAAAGTTGGACAATGCCCATACCGCTCCTGAAGACAGGATTTCGCATGGTGGTACAGGGGTCAGAATGCTGATGTGGCTGCAGTGTAGTCCCATGTAAATGCATCCTACAAAGTCTCCAAGTTCATGTCTCAAAAGGCTAAATGCCTGTGCTCCTGTCTGACACGTGTCATGGATCCTTTCTGGGGTATGTTCAGACTATATTGCCTTGGGGTACAGACGTGCCCTTAGCTTTGAGAGGCTCGCATGTTCTAGTCTGCTACTGAATCCAGCACCTAAGCATCCTTGACACAGTTTGATGTTCGGAGTTGAGAGGCCAACTATGGTAGGAAGCTGAACGCGGAACCACAAATCAGGATCGATCTGGCATGACAACAGTGCTGCATACTAATATCAAACACTTGTCAAGGGAAATCCTCATCCCTCCCTTCAACATTTTAAGCCTACAGCTCCTTCGAAAAGAAACGCTCAATCCACAGGGATATCATGTTCCGAGGTTTTACGACAGAACTAGAAGAGGAGGGGGGCTTGCCACGGTTCTGTCCATGGTGCTACAACAATCATCGATATTGACCTGTCAGCCAAGCATGGTGACAGCAGTTGCTTAACATAACTTGGGTTGCTGTTAAGGAACTTAAATTAAGTTACTATATTGGGGAAACCCTATTATTTACCATATATACCCACTATGGTAAGTTAATTTAAGTTCCTTAACAGCAACCCAGTAACTGCCTGATTGCTGCGACGAAGTGGCATGGCCTCCTACTATGCTGCCGAGGCAGTCGCTTGATCGCAGCCAGGGAGCATTTTTTTGGAGGATTCCCAAATCCCATATTCCCCATCATTTAATCACTACAGCATATGGGTAAAGGGTGGAGGGACCATGGCTGCTTGTGAAGCAGGGGAATTCCGGATGCTTTTTGTGTGTACCTCCAATTCTGAACTCTACTCTCTGAAGCCTTGAGCCGAACCCCTGCAGCTTTGAGTTTCTAATTCTACACCTGAAGCCCCAAACCCTATCAACCCTAAAGCCTAAAAAATAAACCGAAAAGATCGACATCCCCACGTTTTGGCTCAGGTAGCTAGTGCAAAGCCCTGGCCTCAAAGTTTCTCACCATAGCGCAGGATTGAAAGGGATAATTCGAGCAAACTTTGACATGCGGATCTCTCTCTGTCTTTCACTCTCTCCTCATCTCTTTCTTCGTCTGTCTCCCACTCTCTCTTTGCCTCTCTTTGTCTCTCTCTCTCTCTCTCTCTCTCCTTTTCTCTCTCTTGGGTTGCTTCTACCAAGGACTTTTTAGTTTTCGGCTGTAAGAGTGGACCCTTGAAGAAGTCTCCCGGGTGCACGCTTGGGATACTGCAACAGAGCCGCATAGATCTGCCAGACCTTCAGCCAGGCAAATTCGGTTTGGGGTTTAGGGATGGCTTAGATGCAGGTTTCAGTAAAAGTGCTTCAAAACCGGATGCTTCCCAGGCAAAGGCTTCATGTTGTAGTCACATGAAAAGTCCTTGCCTGGAATCGAGGGCCGACGATGGTCCGTCCACACCAGGCGGGTGGATTCCCATCCAGGGGGTTCTGGGATTTGGGCCCATGTTTTGAATTTGCAAAGTCCCAGACCTGGCCACGGAGCGACACGGAACTCGAACTTGTTTGCTAGCCTCGCAAACGAGACAGTGTTCGGTTCTTGCATATTCTGGCTATTATTCATTTTTCAAGGAGAAGGGCATACTTAGGCTATTGACCATGGTGACAGATCGCGATAGCCTTGGTCGCAATGGTAAGGTAATCATCCCACGTGTTGCAAATAGTGACAGTCGCATGTTTACCCTAGCTGCCGTGGACGATACTGCTCGCAACAGTATTTGCACTGAAGATTGAAGCAATTAGTTTTTTCAGCTGAAATCTAACTAAACTCTAAGGACCAATGATTCTGGTATTGGGTTGGCATGGTAAACTGGGCGGTTTGGTAGCCCCAACCTCAAATGAGGAACCCCATTGCTATATTTACTATCACGGGACTCTCCTAGGCTCCTTAGTATAGGGTTTGGGGATACCAAAATTCTCTGATCATAGGGGATCCTGCTGTAGAACTATACGTCGCTCGCCAAGGTTTGGCGGTGCTCACGTGCTGTGAATAGCTGTGTTTTCGTGGTTGCGGATGCGGTCGGGGTGAACGTTATTGTGGCGGCCAGCATGGATGCATTGGTTGCGGGTGTGGTTGGGGTGAACGTTATTATGATGGCCGGCATGGATGCATGGGTTGCGGATGCGGTCGGGTTGAACATTCTTATGGTGGCCGGCGGATTCATAGGTTGCGGATGCGGTTGGGTGAACGTTATGATGGTGGCCGGTATGGATGCATGGGTTGCGGATGCGGTCGGGGTGACTGTCATTCTGTGGGCGGCGGATTCATAGGTTGCGCATGCGGTAGAGGTGAAGGTTATTACGGTGGCCGGCATGGATATGTTGGGCAGGGCCTCCATTAGTGGTCAACGATGGCGGGTGGAGGTAGAACTACCCCCTCTGAGGTTTTGTGCTGCGGGTGCGCGAATCGACGGGCCTCTCTGATCGGCGGGCATGCGGTAGATGGAGGAAATCTTGCGCTACTACACTATTGGAATTCTCCTCGACCTCAGTTTGTCATTGTTACCAAGGGCTACGAATCAGCTCCATGCAATCAGCAGGCATAAGCCCAGGAAAATCTGGCCAACACCCGCGAGCTAAACGTACATTCAAACTTGTGCAACCTATACAGTCAGCTCACCCAAGAGGCTTGGATCCAGATGCCCAGCTTTTGCATGGCTCAACGCTGGGACCCTGAACCGGTGTCCTAAGCATAGTTGAAGGTCTAGGGTTCAGGATTTGAGGGGCTCTGAAAAATAATGGTCCCTTTCAGGGATTACCTTCTGTATTTGGGAAGGGCGCAGAATGTAAGCTTTCAGGGTTTTTAGTTTTGGGATTTCAGGGCTTACTAGTCAGGGTTGAAGGTTTTAGGGCTTGCAGGCTAGGGTTCAGGGTTTAGTCTTGTAGTGGGCATTATACCGGCATGTGTCATATCTAAGGTCTCTAATTTCAAAACAACCAGTTGAAATCATCTCATAACGTGGGCTCTCGTCATTTGCTGGGAGCAGCTTCACCTAAATCCTACGCCAAAGGCACCGGCAGGCAACCAAAGTGAGCCCCTGTGATATGCTGTCTCGGCATTTTGGGCCCCTTTTGCGACACCAATTCTTGTGAACTGGCATTTGTTTAAGCTTTGGTCTCTGGGGAGTGTAATCGCACTTCACGGCGGCAATCAGGTTTGTGTAGAGATGTGTCTTGGGGAGCAAGCATCGCGCCATGGTCTTTTGTTAAGTCCCCATGACAAAAAAGGGCTGCCAGACCTAATTTGCTTCACCGTCCGCTGGGCTTTGCAGGTCATACCTGAGCATGCTTCACGACTGCGGCAGGACCAGCATGTTTTGCATGAAGCACCTGCCTTCCCATTTAGGGATTGATCTGATGGTACCTTCCAGAAAGAATCCCATGGATAAATCGGGGAGTCCTCTACACGGCGTAGGCCCTTTCTCTGGTTCCATGCTTGTTTCAAGCAGTCTATAGTGATGTTGCTTCAAGGGCCCTCAT